AGTTGTTCTGCTGGTTATTCTGTAGATATTGTACTGCATGAGGCGTGGCCATGTGTGTTGGCTCCAACATGATGGAACTACCAGTATTCAGATTTTGGACTTGAATTTATGTTCTGTAGATATCTGTACATACATGCAGAATTGTAAGTCCGTTTTAGCCAATTTCCATGTGAAGTGCCCATTAAATCAGTTCTCTAGTTCTCACAGATTGCAGATTTTCAACAGTGCTGAAAAAGCAAGTGTCCTGTTTACAGAGGAAGCAGTTCAAGAGCTTATCCAGGGTCCACTTGAATTTTTACTCAGGATTGATTTTAAAAACATTTTCACAAAAATACTTTCAATCATTTTAAAAGCACTTTCAAACAAGCTCTACTCTACGTTTAAAGAGAAAGGATTGCGTATTCAGTCTCGTCCCATGTATATGTCCTCGTATTTCCAGGTTGGTAAAGTGACGATGGTTTGAAAAAATACCGATGACCTCAATTCTTTCTTTCTACTGACTTTTCCCGCTTTGTTATCCCTTTTTTTTTTTTTTTTTTTTATTTTTTATTTTTTTAATCCAGATTTAACATAGTTAAAAGCTTCCGAACTTTTCTTTTATTGCAAGCAATGTAACTTGGAAGAGATACCTTATTCTATATTTAGGGTTTTCCAGCAGCATACATGTTTAAACGTGCAGTGTACCAAACCTATTGACCCCTTTATCCATTTTCATACAATTTTGAAAACATCCTGTGGATTGATTCGTGTCTTTCTTTGTTGTGGAAACCCAAGAATCTTATCTACGTTAGAATTTCATGTCTCGTTGCATTGCTGAATAAGACCGAGGCTCTTTCCGAAACTCGAGTTGTGGAGATTCTAACATACAACAGGGATATCGCTGGACGAGAGATCCGAAGAGATGTTGAGCTTTCCCCTCTTGTGGGCCAGAGATTTTTCAGTATGATCGGTACATGATGTGGTACATCACATGTCATTATACAAATAGTGAGATTTGTATGTTAAAAAGTTAATAACTTAAAAAATAAAATTTTCCATCACTTACATAAAAATACATAGTGTCACCTGTGTTTCTGTCAAAATGAAAAATTTCTCCTTGTCAACATGCCACTGCCTTAGAAGAGGTAAATGAACGAACCAACAAGTCTTGGTATTAAAGAGGCTATTCCTATCCATTCATGGTGGACGATAACCTACTTTCAACAAATGCTGCAACCAGTTTATCACAACTCTTTTAAGTTATTTGGGATTTTTTAGAAGGTGGGAGACCATCTTATTTTTGTAGGTGTGGTTGCCTAGTTGGTAGTTGAGGCTTTAGTGGGTCATGATTGGAGAAGAGCTTTAGTGGGTTTAGTGGGTCATGTAAATAAGAAGCTATATTGGAATCATAATAGTGTATCAAAAAAATCAAGTTCAGTATGAGTGAGTTCAATTTTTGAGAACAGTATATGAGTCTTCTGAGTTTGATTCTTACGAAATATGGCTCTCACAACTATTAAACTCACACCACTGCAAAAATTTAACTTAGTTGACTGTTTATCATACTAATCATGCAATATCATGTAAATAAGTTAATACATTTAAACCATCCATCCCAACAACAATACGACATGCAATAGCCTTTCAATATTGTCACTTTAATGTCTTGGTTTCTCTCGCCAATTTGGCCGTGAGATGTGAATACAAATTAGGTACCAAGTCAAGCCGCGCCTTTGCAAATTTCAATATTATACGTGAAGGGTCCTTTTCACTTTACTTTCTGGTTATTAAAAAAAGGAACAAGAAAGTTCGCTTCAACATAAAAATAAATACATAAATTTGACTATTTTTCACATGAACTTGGTCAATTATTTTGGGTTAAAAGAAAAGAATTTCCAAAAAATTCACTAGTTTTACTTTCTAGAAAAAAATTTACTTGTTATACTATTTTTAGAGCTTTCTTTGCAGCCTGGATCACCTTGTTCGAAATATTGTTAGAGTTAGATCACCAACCATTTTAATCACATAAATTCTAGGTGATTTAAAGCATCTACGAATGAGATTTTCAAAAATCCATGTGGCACTTTTACATCTTTTAAAATTTTGTTTTTTACTTGATATGTTAAATTAAATTATCCTTTTATTGTATTAAATTGTTATAATAAATATTTAAAACAAAAAACAGTAATAAAATGAGAAATGTTGAGAATATAGTAAAAGTGAGACATTATGAACTTTCTGTCACCTCATAACTTACAGTTTATCGTTAATTTCCGTACTAATATTATAAAACATTGTGTACATGAGGTGTCAAAGGGTTCATGGAGAGTCTACTTTAAGAGAGCCTCCTTAACGTTTTTCTAATAAAATTAATAAATGAATCTAATAATTAATTAAAATTTTGAACCTGCTGTTAATTTTGGCAACAAGGGTGAGAGTTGCTAATTCTTATCATGCGATATCAAATTTAGTTTTTCAATTGAAAAACATTGTTGCTGCCTTTTTTAACTGTTAATACTAATTTGAACATTTTAACCTCTCCTATAAAATTCTCTTTTGAGTCGCCTTTCAAGTTTGAACTCACCAAAATATTCTCTTGAATGTAAAAAACCATTTTTGTATTAATTTTATTTTTCTATACATTAGATTCTGTAACGATGAAGAACAATCAAGATAAGATGTGATCTTATGCTTATTATATAAATAAACAATACTTTTTAAATCATACACCTGATACACCAATACATTATTTAAATTGGAGGTAATGTTGATTATACTTTGATTAGTTGCTAATCTATTGACGTCAGCATTGTGATTAATACTCATAGTTGGCGTACAAAAGGGTTTTCAAAGTGAGGCGATGATTGAAACTTTATTATTTAATTTTAATAAATAAACAAGACAGTCATTCGTAGATTTTAAAGGTTTTTTAGTTAAACTGATCTAAAAATTTGACATAACTTCTCATTTTTGAATTTGAGATTTGAAATCGATAAAAGTTGTCTTTTAGTTTATTCACCATTAATGATTTTGGTCATTCACAAAATTATTTTAAATAAAGACCAGAATAATAAAAATACCCTCAATTTAATACACAATGAGCCAAAATGATATGACAAAAATTAAAGGTTTTTGTGTCATTTTATCCTTATTTAATGAAGATTTTTTACACAAAAACTAAAATGATTGATAGTAAACAAATCCAAAAACTAATTCTATCAGTTCCAAATCTTATCAACTATTTTAACTAAAAAGCCATTTTAAATTTAGTTCACCTCTTTGAGCTTGTGTAAACACAACAGCTTGAGCTCACCCTTCATTCTAAATAACGAATTAGTTAGATTCACCATTGAACTCGAATTTTCAAGTTCAATTCACCATCTCCTAAGTCGCTTATATAAACAAATCTTGAGCGCGCCATTTTTATAACAAATGAACTTGTCAAATTCATCCCCATCATTTGAAATTTCTAGTTCAATTTACTTTTTAGTACATCGCTCACATTAAAAATAAGAATATGATATTCATACATCCTATTTTACTTCTTATATACATTTTTAATTTTTAACATGTTAGATAGGATGAATTGAAGAAGATTAACAGACATAAATTATTAAAAAATGGGTAGATGGTACACCCCTAAAAATAATAAATACATCAGTTGATAAGATCACGACAAGATCAAAGAACAACCTCTGAACAAAATTTAATGTTTGAACTCAAAGTTATTTGTGTTGGTTGACTGACCCCTCTAAACTTATTGCACAAGGCCTTGTATAGGGTCGACATTGATCACTAACTAACCTAGAGGATCCTCTACAGATCTTTTTGCTGAAGATTCTGGAGATTCGTAAATTGTATTTGTTCATTGTAAATCGTACGGTCAGTTTTTATCAAATATTATTTATGTTTATTTTTAAATAAAAAATATTTAAAATAATTTATAACCGTACGATATACGAGAAACGGACACGATTTACGAATTCTTGTGATCCTTACAAAGAGGATGCGGCAAGGATCCGAACTCCTAAACTAATGCATTTTTCATTTTGACAAATCTTAATTCAAATTGTAGACATAATAAACCAGTTGATTAGAATAGTATAATTCTTCTTTTGTATATAAGTTTGAATTTTCTTTATCCTGTAACTTAGTATAGATTATTTTGAAAAAATAAAATCCTACTTATAGGTAAAAATAAAACAGAAAAACATGAAAAATCCAAAATTCCAATCCACCATTTTGTTCCAAGTTTGTTTTTTCACTTTTTACCTTCTGAATCCCATGTTTTTTTTTTGTTCAAGTTGGAAAACGGCACAACGTTTTTTGACTGTTTTCCAGCTTAAATAATCAAATCCTAAATCCCGTTAGAGCTCAGATTTCTTTCCTAATTTAAATCCTTTTCAAATCTTAAAAAACGCATATATAGATGGATCCTGAAATTTGTAATTTTGTAACTTCTAGTCCACCTTAGTAGTCCCTTCCTACCACAATTTTAGAATTTAGCACCTATTGTCCCGGCAGTCGGACAAATTAATCCGTCCCGGTCTCCCTTTTTTTGAAAGAGAAAATTTTCAGTATACTGCAAAAAGGATTCAATATTTAAATGTAATAATATAATTTTATAAGTTGAAAACCTTGAAGAAAAAAATTTCAATAAATTGAAATATAATACTTCGAAAGCGAATTGTGTTTCCGGCCTACTGAAAACTTTTTCCATCCGGAGACCTTTCTTCTGTCCTATAAGGTACAAACTCATTAATCCAAATCCAATCTTTCACCGTCCTTCATTATATATAATCCCCCATTAACCCAGCTCAGTGTGAAAAATAGAGCAAGATTAAAGGAACTAATCACTGATTAATCAAATCTTCCTACCCACCAGAAAAATATCATTTTCTCTCTCATTTTCTTTTCTTTTCCCTTACTTTCTTTCCAACCAAACAACAAACACCTGCTAACAAGCTCCCACCTTTCCCCCTCCATCTCGAAAACCCAGCAGCATTAACCCGTTTCAGATTCTGGGTCGGTTGCATTTTCGGATTTTTTGGGGATTCAGGACCTGAATTTTTTGAAAAATGAAGAAGCTCAAGAGCTACTACTCGCATCTGAGGCACCACCAAACAGTGGAGCTCAAATGGATCTTCCCCTTGGCGATTGGCTCCATTGTCTCTCTCTTCCTCCTCTTCCTCACCACCCTGACGTCATCCGACGGCACGCCGCTGCTCCCTTTCTACCGCTCCTTCTCCATCTCCAGCTCCGTCTTCATCGAATCCAAGCTCCACCCGCTTCCGGTCTCCTCCCTCCCGCCGCCGCCGCGCTTTGCGTACTTCATCTCCGGCTCTAACGGCGACGGAAACATGCTGAAGCGGACCCTCCAGGCGCTTTACCACCCGCACAACCACTACGTGGTCCACCTGGACCTTGAGTCGCCGCCCGATGAGCGGATGGATCTGCAGAATTACGTTTCTACCCACCCCGTTTTTGTCAAGTTTGGGAATGTGAAGATGATCAGCAAGGCCAATCTCGTCACTTACAGGGGACCGACTATGGTGGCCAACACCCTCCACGCCGCCGCCGTTTTGCTGAGGGAAGGCGGCGATTGGGATTGGTTCATCAACCTCAGCGCTTCCGATTACCCACTTGTTACTCAGGATGGTGAGTCTAATTTCGGGATTTTTGGGACTGTTTTCGTTTAAAATTTCGTATTTTTGGACTGTTTTTTGTGCTAAATTTGAATAATTAATTACTGGGTTTCGATTAATCTGGTTGTTTAGATCTGCTGCATACGTTTTCATACTTGCCGCGGGATCTTAACTTCATCGACCATACAAGCAACATTGGGTGGAAAGAGTATGCATAATGTCCCCCCTTGTTGTTTTGTTGTTTATATTTATAAAGTTTCTGTTTTTATTTTCATTTCTTTTTCTGAGTGACTATAGTTGTGTGATTGATTTGGTAATGCTGCCTGTTTATAGGTATCAAAGAGCGAAACCGATAATTGTAGATCCGGGGTTGTATATGACCAAGAAAACCGATGTCTTTTGGGTTACACAGCGAAGGAGTGTGCCAACAGCTTTCAAACTTTTTACAGGTACAAATTTTAGATAACAGATCATATAGAGTTGAGCACATCAGACCAAAATCACTATGTAATTGCCACATAAATAACCAGAATTTCCTTTTATTTTTTGTAATGAACTAACATAGGGACCTAGAAACCCAACATATCTAAAGTATGTACATTTATGCATATAGCGTTAGGTATAGATATCGTTTTCCTTCTCTGCTTGGATTTTCAGTGAATGAACTAGTGTAGTAGCCTATAGATTTGAAATTGGTATGGAAATAAACAGCTATGCTGGAAGACTGATTTTGTCAATTTATTACGGCTATTTTTTTTAGTGATATTCAATGAAATATGATGTCTGAGAAAAAATATGTCTGCATACCAAAGGATGTCTCAGAGCTATAAAAAATTGCTTTGAAACATTTCTTTTTGCAATGGAATCAATAATTTGCAACCTAAGTTCAGCTTTTGCGATTGTGCAAACTACACTGCTAACAACATGGGATTTTGTGGAAACATTCAAACTCAAGTGAGTGGACGAGACTAGATATATCAGCCCTCTTGGGTTGTTTTCATTGAAAAGCAATTCTTAAACAATTGACGACGGTTACAGAGATTTTCACACACCATTTGTAGCCTCTTACACACCCCTGTTTAATCCTGGCTGTTGATTCTGTTTGATTTATTTAGTCCGATGGTCATAAATAAAGAGGGGTTGTGAGAAGCTAAAAGGGGTGTGTGAAAATCCCTTCGCTTTAGGAATGACCTTTATCAACTTACGCAAATGCATTGCTAAGTGTGTTAAATTGCTGCCTTTGGCGGCTCTAAACACCTATTTCTGTTTCTGGGTAGTCGAACCAAAAACAACTTATATAGTTGGATGTGCATTTGGACCCTAGTTATTATGGCCAATCTTCTCTGTTACGCATAAAAGTAGTTTTAGTGTGTTTTTCTCCTCACCATGTGCGATCAGTAACCATGATCAATTTATTGGCAGATAGACAGCTACATAATCTGATTTTATGTTGCTTGATTGTTAAATTTTGTCCTTTACCTATAATATGCTTGTTATTTCACTTACTACTTTACTATCCTTGTACAACACTCGGATTTCATATACTCTGCACAGTTAAAACACATATTCTAAAGGTCCTCTAGGGAGCTAACGTCTTTACAAACCACTCTGTTATAGTTCCTTTTAGCCTGACCTTGGCCTTTATAGGTTTTCGACTTTCCAAAATGTGGTGTTTTGTTAATTTTCCCAATTTCCCGTCAATTGTCCACCTGTTGATCCTCTCCAACTGCTACCTGCCCTTAGGCAGTCTCTTGAAAAATATCCATTTATTCTCCATTGAGGAGCATGTCCTGTTGCCGTCAGTTTTCTTTTAACCAAATGTTTGCTTTCTTTTCATAGGTTCTGCTTGGATGGCACTTTCAAAGCCCTTTGTTGATTACTGCATATGGGGATGGGACAACCTACCTCGAACTGTTCTCATGTACTATGCAAACTTTTTATCATCCCCGGAGGGATACTTTCACACGGTCATATGTAACGCTCAAGAGTTCCACAACACAACTGTGAATAGTGACCTACATTTTATAACGTGGGATAACCCTCCCAAGCAACATCCTCACCACCTTAACCTTGCAGATATGCAAAGGATGGTCGACAGCAATGCTCCCTTTGCAAGAAAGTTTCGCCAAGATGATCCAGTGCTTGACAAAATTGATTCTGAGCTGTTGTTTAAGGGTCCCGGTATGCTTGTTCCTGGTGGTTGGTGCATAGGAAAAAGGGACAACGGGTCTGATCCATGCTCTGATATTGGCAATACCACAGTCCTCATGCCTACCCCGGGAGCAAAAAGGCTCGAAGTTTTGATCAGCTCTCTATTATCCAACGAGAAATTCCGATCAAACCAGTGCAAATGACAAGAACTCAAACTGCTTGTTGAAGCTTGTTGAAGTGCTTCCCCACGTCAGTTCAATTAGTTTACAATTGACGACAGAATACAGCATTATCAGGGAAATGGTGTGTACATACTTCCCATGAGCTAGATTGCTTCGTGCTATGCTGACATGGTATGTACCATTGGTTTCTAGTTAGCCCACCATTTCCCATTTACCTGTTTTTTGGTTTTCAAATTTTTGGATACTGCATTTGTCATGGTCCGGGCATTTCGTATGCTGCAGTAAAATGCGTCTTGAAATGATGATGGGAGTGTAGTGTAAGAACTGCTGGAAAGATGTATATTTTGAAAGAGGAAATCTAAAGAAAACTTGTCTGATTCTGTGCAACTTTTGGATCTAAATATAGCTGTTTGTTTCACATATCTGATATTTTGCCGTTATTCGAATTTGGGAATTAGAGGACTTAAATTTCAAGTTTTTTTTTTTTTAATTTTTTATTTTAATTTTTTTTTAATACAAAAATTCTAAATTTCTATGTTTATGAATCCGAATAAGAGAATTTGTGCATATCAATATATACATTCTAATTTTTGTTCAAACTTCAAATTTATTACGCCCATCCAAATATAGTGTTGGTTTTTTTTCCCCTTACAGTCCTTGACTGCCATCATTTGGATGATTGGATATATTTCATTTGGTTTTGCCTTGAAGCCCATGACCCTATCGGCTTTGGAGCTTCCTGGGCCAGAAGACGGGCATTCATGACCCTCCCCTAGCGTGGAGGTGGAGAGATTCTAACATATATTCTCATCTATTTTGTAAGTCTTAATTTATAGATCATTTTTGTAAAAATTTAATTCAATTCGAAACTGTTTGCATAGAAAATAAAGTGTTGTCAATTTCTTTAAACTTAATTAGATACCTCAAATATTTCCGTTTGGCTAATATTTTGCAAGGATGATCTATGAGGTGCAACTTAAAAAATAGATGGTTCGAGTTATTAAAGTTCGATATGATGTGGGCCTAACAACTAATCTCCAATTTTATAAAAACTGGGGATCCCTTCCCTCAAAGGACTTCATATATATATATATATAGACACACACACACACACACACACACATTCGATTACAATGAAGAATCTCACGTAGGAGATATAAGCTTGATTACACCCAAGAATCTTTCTTTTTATTTTTACCTAAACTCTCATAATTTTGTAAGCATAACTCTTCAAGTCTTGTGGTGTGATCCCTCTAAGTGATGTATTATATTCCATCATCACAAGCATAAACACCACCACTCACGACCACAATTAACACATATTTAATGCTTAAATGGACGTATGTTTAGTTAAATGAGTACCCATTAGTCATCCCTACCATCCACCAAAAAATTTCAAACTCAACTGTTGCCTTCAGAAATTTTATTTTTGTTACACAGGAGTTCTGATTTCTAAATCTAGCCAACTCCTACCCATCACTCTACACCCAGCCTCACTGTCGGCTAACCTCGGTGCCTCTGAAAAATCATTAACTCTAAAAAGGAAACAAAATTAATTAAACCAAAATACACTTGCATTTCTACTTTCTTGTTAAGATTTGGTTCACTCTCAAATGATGGAAAGTAATTACGAACACTCGTGCATGTGTTTAAGTGTTGAAAGGGACTTGACATCAACATTAGGGTTTTCTGCAACTAGCAAAACATAAAGTTATGGACTCATGTAAAACGATTGCACCCAAACACCTTTTGTGTTTATATGGTCTATCAATGCAAGGTAATTTACATACATGCGTTGAATCAAATAGTGGCCCCACATTCCACAATTATTTTCCATACAATTCACATCAATTGCATATGTTTTATTGTTCTTGTTCGGGACAAATTTTGATGTGTAATCGGTAATATATCTCTTTATAACTATATTATTTGTTGTGTAGTCAAGAATATGTCAGTTTGTATCTACATCTTTCGTTGTGTGATAAGTGATATATACATTATGATCAATGGTGGACTCTCATACCATCCATAGTTAATGATTTGAATTACAAGGCCAAGAAAACCTTGCAAGTTAATTTCTGATGAATCATTTGCTATGCAAGAAATAGTTCCTTCTGGATAGCCCCATAGATATATATGTGGCGGATCCGTGACAGCACTGGAAAGAAAAGATAATAGAAAAACACCAGTTGCAGGCTTGCGATGATTTTCAAGTCCTAACAAGCTAATACTGCAATCACATGTTAAATGACTAAACTCGCGGCGAACCTTGTGAACAGATCTTCAATTAGCTCTTCATCTGAACAAAGTAATATACCCTTCGCAGAGGCTTCAGTCGAGGTGAGATGAAGCTCGCTGCCCCGAATTGGCTATAGCTATAAAGAGCTTGTAAACGTAGCTACCAATATACATGGCATTCGACGCCATCTCACCTACGACAAAGTCCCTACGCTTTGATATTCCGATCTCGCTTTTAGTACTGTTTTTCAATCCGCTGGCTAGATCTCTTCTCCGAAATCCTCACGATGCAGCTTCATATATAGGCAAGAAAGAGCTGGTATAGTACTATTTCTTCGTTTTCCTTCTTTCAATAAAGTGGTACTAGTATTGTAAGGGCGATCCTAAGTTAACAAAACTTTCTGCTTTGTAAGGGCCGAGGGGGAATGTCTATCGTATCTAACCTTATTCTTGTTTTGCAAAGATGCTAGCTGTTTCCACGACTAGAACTCGTGATCTTTTGGTCACAAACGAGCAATATTTCTGTTGCATCAAAACTTGCCTCATGGTACTAGTGTTGTAAACACTATAATTCATAAGTTATATTAGCTAGCTAGCTATACGATCATAAGGTACAAATATATAGACTCCAAATTCTCACAGAAAATATTAAAGCCTCATGGTCATGTATAAGGGACAGAATATATAACACATATTTAGTACAGCTTTGTATATAAACGTATATTATAAACTTATGAAACGAATATAAACTATGTCATCATATGATCTCAATTCTCACCAGTACTATGTATTTATTTTCAAAGTTAAGACCTAGTTGATGAATTATTCATGAAATTTGTCAACGCAAAACAGTTGTGAGATGAAATCGATCTGCAAAACTACTATTATTAGTTGGTCAGTAATATATAAAATTTACTGTCATAATCTCCTGATGATGTAATCATATGATATCATCATCAATTGCATCAACTAATCATACGAATTTATTATATTTTCAGCTCCAAATAGAATCAACTTTTTTAACGCAAGTTTTATTATGGTTTACAATGTATGGTATCTACAGTAGATGTCCAGCTGAGCTAAAACAATCATATCTTACAAAGTCAAGCTTAAGTAACTGATAGGATATTATTCAGATAATTAATCTACAACCACGAGATAAAAATCATGTTGGAAAAAAAAACCCAAAATGTCGTAGAGAAAGATCAAAGTCGTAGAAGTTGTGTAGAGCTTTTTGGTCACAGAAGAGATGGCAACAATTATTGACAATTTTAGCACAATTAGTGCCACCTCTCCTGCGAACATAAATCCCCCAACCTTTCTTGATACCTCTCTCCCTTCCTCTCATTTAATTTGGAGAATGTTGCATTTTTCTTTAATAGAATAAAGAAAATAGGACATGTGCATAAAGAAATAAAAGGGTTTCATGTTGCTGGAGGATGGAACATACTACTAGCTAGTGCACAGCTCGTGCCATCTCTCCTGCGACATGAATTCCTCAACCTCTTTTATATCTTATTTGTTTCTCTATTGAATGTGTTAATGGCTTCAAGACCTTAGATAACCCCATATTTATAGGCATGAGCCCAGGTCAATGTTTGTCCTCGGAGAATGTTAGGTTTTTTCACAATACAAGGAAATTACCTATACATTACCATGACGTTTGTTTTTAATTTGCAAGGAATTGCCTGTGATCGCATAAAGTAATACATAAAGTGAGATATGCTAATGAATAAAATCAATCAAATACGTTTTGCAAAGTTTGGAACATTGGCCTAACAACCACACATTAGAAAGCCACTAGTAATTACGGGATTGGCCAGTCAAAAAAAAGGAAAGAGATGTTAGACTTCTTTTTCTAATATTTGTCGTACATTAGAACTAATCACAAAATTTAACTTGCAGAGTATTACTACAACAAAGTGGTTCTTAGCGATGAAATTATCAATTTTGATCCGCAAAGCATTTCGTATGCTGCAGTAAAATGTGTTTTGAAATGATGATGGGAGTGTAAGAACAGCTGGAGAGATGTATATTTTAAAAGATGAAATCTAAAGAAAACTTGTCTGATTCTGTGCAACTTTTGGATCTAAATATAGCTGCTTGTTTCATACATTTGATATATTGCCGATTTTCGAACTTGTTTTGCACATCTTATTATGTTTAGGGTTTCTTTTTCCTTGACTGCCATCATTTGGATTATTGGATATATTTCAATTGGTTATGCCAATGCCATGAAGCCCATGACCCAATCGGCTTTGGAGCAATAATCCATGACCTTCCCCGCGCGTGGAGATGGAGATTCTAACAGATATTCCTCCCTTTGTGTGTATTTTTGAGTGAAGAGCTAATTCAGTCATTGAACTATCAGCTTAATGAAAATTAGGTTTTTGAACTATTTTTCGGTAATAAGTTCCTAAATTTATTAAAAATTGTTAATTTCATCATTACTATTATATTCAAAGCTATTTTATCTAATCTTTTGTCAACTTAAGTCACTTGACACATTTTAGAATGTAATACTGACATTTTGTTGCATATAAACCTTCCATATAGGTTGCAAATCTAGCGTCTAATTTACCCCCCTAAGTTAATTCCATACACTATTTTGTTATGGAAAATTATCAATCTACCCTCCAATGTGTATCACATACAAGTAACGTGACTTAAATTAATGGAGACTTGAATATAGTAGCTTCGACTCTAATATTAAGAATGCAATTGGCATATTTTTATAATTCAAGAATTGATTTTTCTGAAAAAATAGTTTAAGGACCTAATTTTCACTTAGGTGATAATTTAGAAACTAAATTGGTAGTTCACCTTTTATATATTTTTTAAAAGAGTATTCCCTCTCTATATTTCGGATTCATTTCACATGTCGAATATACATCAAATTACTCCCAAAAATCTCACATGAGAGATATAAGCTCGATTAGACCAAAGAATTTACGCCCACCTCAGGGGGGGGGAATCTTTCTTTTTATTTTTACCTAAACCTTTATAATTTTTAAGTCCTTTTGTAAGTGTAACGCTTCAAGTCGTGTTGTGTGATCCCTCCAGTTTTGTGTCATCATTCACCACCACAATTAGCACATATTTCACACTTAAATGGACATCTATTCTGAATTCTGGATCT